TGCCTTAGCATAGATTCCAGGAGGATTTCATATGAGCCACATTTTTTGGAGATCAAAGGAGTAGCTTCCTATAAAAAAGGTGGCTGATTCTATTGCATTGCAGTCTGGCACAAAGGTGTGGAAATAATTCTGTGTTAAACTGCTAAACAGACTTCCATAGCTGGAGGACCCTGAGCTTTTGACTCCATATACATGTGTGCAACACAGTTCAAGACAGTTCAGCTGTAGCTGTACTATTAATCCTGGTTTATTTCCCAGCCATATAATCTTGCCCAACTATTCAGCCTGGTAAATAACCACGTTAAATAACCAATTAATTTTTAGATGCTGGGAAAGCTGCCTGGCAAGAGTTCTGCCTGGCTCCTATGAAACACAGATGAGAATATCTTGTATTTTGTGAATTTAAATACACAAAGAAGGTTTATGATGTAGGAACACTCCCTATTATTTTATAAAATCACTGACAGTGAAGGCAGAAATGAGACAATAGAAAAAAAAAAAAACCACCACCTTACCCTTCCATTTACTTCACCTCTCCACCAGCCATTCGCACTCATCTTTGTATAAATTTTTACAACATCCCCTTTCAGTAAGGACAGTTCTCTCATGTCTCTTGCACAGAAGTCATACCTTGCTATGGCAATGCCTATCACCTTCGGACTTAGCACTGAAATGAAACAGACATTGATATTATTAGGGTTTGTTAATTGAAGCTACTAAAGAAATGTAAATAGCAGTACCTTAAAATATAAAACAATGATTTCACAACAACATACACTGGCATTAATTTTATGCAAATACGAAAGCATCTGCACTACACAGATCAAGGAGGTTTAAACATAAGTAAATATTGCAAAAGTTGAAAGGATTTTATGTGATTTTTTAATAGTGGTTTTTTTTTTTTTAGAAAGACGTCAAAACTAGATGAACCATAAATAAAATATCCCCCACCTCAAAACCGATGAATACATTTGCAATTATTGTATTTTTGTGCTTCACAATAAAACTTGCTGCCAGTTACATGCATCAACATATTTTACAGGTCACTAGTTACTTTCCAAAAGAATTATTAGCATTCACAGTTGATTTAACTTTAAACCTCTAATGAAGCAAAACAAACAGAATAAGGTGCTGCTCTTTCAAAAACAACTCCCAAGTTAAACATTAATGCACTTAAAATTGGAAGCTAACATCAGCATGAGCAAAAAAGTAAAGAGTTTCCATGGGAAATTTGTATGGATCATTTGTTACAATCTGCATGAACACTGGCTGATGTAACTCTACTTTTTTCGGGAGTTTATTTTGTAAATCACCAATGAATTTGTTCTACAAAACTCTTCAGGAAGAAAAAAATCCTTACAATTTTTTTCCTAACTTTCAGTGAAATTAACACTTAAAAATTTTAAGCAACATCAACATGTAAGCATTTTGCCAATGAAAAGCCCAGACATTTTAAGCAATTAAAAAAAAAAAAAAAAAGTGAAATATTTTTAGAAAGCAAATGTAAAAAAAAAAAAAAAAAAAAGCCTAATTTCAAAAGCCAATGCCCTTCTCACAAATAATTTTATAGGAAATTACATTTTCAACCCTGTTGTAGAATGTCCAAACTTGCAAAAGAAATCCTGAACTTTTCCAAAGAGAGGAAAGTGGGCATGGCACCTAAGAGATAGAGGCCTTTGACTTCAGCAGTTTAGAAAAAAAACATCTACTACTCTGCTACATTTTGTAGTTGGGATTATTTGGCCAAAAGCATTCTTTTTAATTTTTTTTCCATTAATGCCATTGTTTTCCTATGTAAGTCACTGTAGATAGGAATTTACGAGCACAAGCAAATTTCCTACTAAGAAGATTTCAGAATAATTCATCATATGATCATGATGGATGACTTAATAAAATGTACATATAGTAATCTTTTTCCTCAGAACCCCCTCCAATTTCTTAGAAATTCCCAATCAACTTTAGGAAACACCATTAAGATTCTAGTTTTAACAATGCCTTCAACTATGTAATAGTAGAAGTTCATAGCTAGTTGACTATTCAAATTGCCTATACTCAAATATTTTTAGCTTACAGAGACAATAGAAAGAGTTTATTTTAAAGTCACAAATACTACGTTTAAAATATTGCTAGATATATCACAAAAATGGAATGCCTAAAAAACTGCTTGGGCAACAGATTATGGCCTCTTTTATATCATGCCGTTCAAGTTCAGCCCAACATTTCAGACTGCTTATATAGAGTATTCAGGTATTGACACAGAATGTACAGGATGTCATGTAGAAAAGAATCAGCATCTCAATTTATTGCTTATATCTACAATATAAAGATGCTGAAAAAATCTAGGTTACATATTAAGTACATTAAAGTATCAAACATACTTTTTTCCCCTTTAAGCAAATCAGATGTAGACGCTACTTGTTTAGATCCTGACATGAATGTGATGTCCTATACCTTATCAGTATTGCAGTAATCAGTTTTACAGGGAAAGATTGCATCATGAGCAGCAATTTTTTTGGAGAAAAAAAAAAAAGAACAGCTATTGATTGTAAGGTCAGTAACCATTTATAGGTGTGCAGCAATATCACTGGCAGATTTGAGGAAGCATCACAGGATGGAAGGAGTGATTCTGGGGAGCAGGGTATCAATTCAGATTCTAGAAAGGAGATAAAGGGTCAAGAAACATTACATAAGGCAAATATGAACAAATTTGTGAAAACATAGAAGAAAAGAACTAAGGAGGGAAGTAATGTATGGAAGAATAATAAAGAGGTAAAATACTCAGGAAAATTAGGATAGAAAGAGGGATCAGGGGGAAAGGACTATTTTTCAAGTTGTGAAGCCAGAGAGGAAAAGGAAAAAGAAGCAAGAGAAATCAAAAACATATATCTCAAAAAGTCTTGAGGCAGAAAGTAGCAGAATTTAGATTAATTTAGAATCCAACATCCATATTTTCAAATAAAAGTGATGCTCATGATAGGAAATATATAAAAGGAAGCCAGATGAGTGATGGAATACAGGAAAATGACAGTACTAATTTTGGAAAAATTATTAACCACATCTCTCTGCTGACAGTGACAAAAACAACTTGAGAAGTTATCAGCCCTGAATTCCCCATCAGAGCTGTCCCAGGATAAATGAAACTTGAGCGAAGACAGTCAGCACGTGGAAAGAAGATCCGTACAGGATGGGAGAGAGAAGAAACACTGAGTGAAGGAAAGAAAGAGGATAGCTACAGGAAGAATGAGAAAGAAGAAAGTGAATGGGATTAACAGAAGAGATTGATGGATAGAAAGTGCCCAACAGGAGAATGTGAATGAGAAAGTAAAGAGGAGAAAAAAGAAAAAAGCAAGAAAAAAGAAAAGAGGCTATTGAGAAAGCAGTAATAAATAAACCTTGTGTATTAGGAGGGAGATACTGGGAGGATTAACAGGAAATAGAGCGAGAAATCTGAGGGAGATGAATAAAAGGTACATGTGTGAATGAGAAAAATACACTTTTACTTAACCTAGCCTTTCCTTCTGCAAACAAGAGGAGAAGAAAAAACAAGGAATTATAACTATAGTCAGCTTGATTCACACTGGAGTATGTTGGAAAAGTTTCTCATTGACAGTGAGACAGATGCAAACGAATTTTAATACTAGTTTGGGCCACTGATGAAGGAACTGGGGTGCAAACAAAAGAGGCTCCATGTGATCACAGCAGGCTCATCTAGTTCACATTTCTGCCTGTGCTTAGATTCCACAAGGGTCAATGTATCTTTATAAGCAATGTGAGTTGTTGCTTCTGTCTACTTGTCATCATCTGCAGCCATATCCCCTAAGGGCTGCTCCTGTGTATTAAGTTTCCATGCTCCTTGAAGCAATGCACATTTACTTGCACTGTTTAACCAAACCTCAGTTCTATTACACAAGCACAGGCAGCACCTCCAGTAGTGCTCAGTAGTTGGCTTAACCCTTCTGTTACCAACTTCCCTATCAGCAGAACTAAGCCACCTCTGAAGATCCTTTAAAAAAAAAAAACCTGTAATATCATGAAATAAGTATTTCATAGAAACGTAGAATGGTTTGGGCTGGAAGGGACCTTAGAAATCACCTAGTTCCAACCCCCCTGCCATGGGCAGGGACACCTCCCACTAGAGCAGGTTGCTCAAAGCCTCATCCAGCCTGGCCTTGAACACCTCCAGGGATGGGGCATCCACAGCTTCTCTGGGCAACCTGTTCCAGTGCCTCACCACCCTCACAGTAAAGAATTTGTGCTGGTCACACTTCTCTTGGATCCAGTTGGCCTCCTGGACTGTGAGCATTCATTTAATGTAAGCAAATTCTTTGTTTTTAAAAAAGATGGGCTTACTAAGAACATATGAAGTAATGTAGCCTATCTATGAGAATATGAAATCCCATTCGAACAGGTAGATAAGCTTAAGAACTACTAATCATTATTTTCCTTTAATATTTTGTACTTGTATGAAGAAATAATTTACACAGCATGTTGAGATACACAAGACATTGAATTTTTATTGTTACAGTTACTTAAGAATTTTCTGATAAAACAGTTTTTTATAGGAAAAAATAAATATAATTACAGTTTGTTAAAACAATATGTGGGAACGTATGACAGGCTTAAAGTAACCTTGAGTCTTGATTGCTGTTCTATCACTGTAAGCTGCTTCACAACTTTGTGTTCATGGAACAGATACCAGTTTCGGTAACAACAGACTTTACGATCAAGTACTGTGCAGTTGAATGAAAGAGGTCATCTTCTTGTCAAAAGGATAGAAGCTCACAGTATTTACCGACAATAAGGGTCCAAAACAACTCCTTTGTGTTCTCCGATTCAAATGAGGTGGGTGCTTCAGACATTCCAGCTGAATGTCATGACCACAGGGTAAATGGCTAGATCAGAATGGCTTTCTATTCCTCTTTTCTACAGATGTATGCCTTTATATAAGTAAATGTCAACTAGAAGAGTGCCTTAAAGCTTGGATTCTCAATGTTGTGACTACTGAAAGGAAGTAAAAATATCTGCCCCCAGAAAATCGATATGTAAGGAGACAGAAATGAAAGAAACAGACTCCAAAACAGTGAACAACTGAGGGGCAAAACATTCAAGAGCAGTGCAGGACTTTGAGACTGAAATCCCTGGCATGAATTGAGGCAGGGATCATCAGAGAGGCTCTCAGCACAGTAAGCACACTAGCCATTCTACTACTGAGCTGCCACCTACATCCTTTTTTCCCCCTAGAAACTATGGAAAGCCTTAAGAATCGATCTCAGAGCACTAAGCAATTTGTATGACCTCTGCAGGGTGGGTGTAAAACATACTGCCTACTGAGATCTCTAGTCAGATCTTGATTACGACTACATCCGCATTCGTGCACACTAGACGCCTCCCTTTCCCTAGTGCCTCAATCCTGATTTGCACGACCTAGGCCAAGTCCCCCACCCCCTGTACACAGAGGTGTGTCAGTGTAACGTGAGTGAACACTGCATTCTCAACAGTAACAGCTCCTTCCGTATGCTCCTCGAAGGCATTTACCTTCCTACTAGCAAAATTCTTTTTGAATTGTCCAGCGGTTAAGTTCACCTCTTTGAAGTCTATTTCTCAGAGACCAGAGCAAGCCATAGCCATACTTATGCTCTAACTGAGACCACTACTGCTACTACTTTA